ATTTCACATTTTATGTGCGCTTTCTTTCGCCTGGCCACTTTGGGCAGGGGTTCGAGCCCTAGGTCCTTGGTCGTTGGTCCGTACTCCTTGGTCCTTGGATACATTTTGTGCGCGCTGTCATTAGGAGAAATAAAATATGCTACTGCTTTCACTTTGCTAGTCCTCCGTTTCGGTCTTGTCCTGCGGAATGTCAAGCAAACGAGCCAACCATCAACTTTATGGGCAAATAACACAAATTACAGAAACCAAAAACAAGAGAAATTCAAGAAAATTGGGTAGAATACAAGTATATCTTGTCACATTTTTGTTAAGGAAAGGTTTAACGCATGTTTTAGATTCCAGTAAGAGATAATTTTCAAAAGTTTGATGTAATTTGTTTGGTTTCTTCTGGAATTTGTATAAAAATCGAACATTTTAAGTCGAATTTTTTTTTAAAAGTACATATGGTTATCATGTCGGATTCTTAATATCTATTCAATCTTGTCGTATACGTAAAAGATTAGTTTTTAAAGGTCATATACCCTTTAGAGAAGTTTTAGATATATTCAAGGTACAAGATTTGTCATATTTTCTAGAGAAGCTATTATGTCCAACATGTCGTATACGTAATCTGCAATAGAGAATATCAAGTATACGTTTTTAAATTATATATTTTAAACTTTTCTGGAACTAAATGTTATTATTCATTCATGAAATAACGTTGCAGCTATTATTACCATTAAAAAAATTTATGAAATAATTTTAGAACTCAATCAGACATGAATACATTTTTATAGATCTACCCCATTGAGTTGAGGTTCTATTCTTGCCACCTATCTGCTGCCCATCATATTTTTCAAATATGATTCCGCCTGGGCAACTGTTGCTGTCAGTCTGGGTTATTTCGTTGGGTACCCCGCTCTCGTCTTGGCATTTAGCAAATTCCTGACAGCCCGAGAACCCCACGTTGATGTAATTTTCGCCTTCCTGCCAAATGTCCAAAAATATCAAGCCAAGACCAATTATGAATAGAACAATTAATCTCTAATTATGCCTGAATATCTGTCAGGCGAATTATTAGCGAGAATGAAATGAAAATCAACGAAAAAGACACCACAGGCGGCACCGTCTCCGGGGGAGACAGAAGGGTGATGTACCTCAGAGAGATCAGATCTTGGGTGTCTCCTCCTTCTCAGCCGTTGCTCCATGCGATCTTTTTGGGGCCTTGGACCTCATGTTCGCCGGCTGATCGGATTATGACAACCAACGACACAACACCAGACAATCCGTGGCAAGAGGCAAGCGACATGAGGCCGGTGGCAAGAGGCATGAGTTTTTCATTTGGCGTTGAAAGTTTGCTGACGATGCCAACAGATGCAAACGGATGCCGCATCTTGATCGCCACTTTTGATTCGGATTAAGTGAAAATTCATTAGATAATTTCAGGCCGTGTCGCATCTTGATGGAAACTTGTGAGGCGCACTACCGCACACTCTCGAGCACCAGCACTCTAGACGCACTTATCGCCGGCTAAGTATGCCAATTAGTTAATATTAGTAGCGATTAAAATCCAGGCTAGGAACCCGTCGTCGCGATTTGTGTCAGGAAGTGGATGGACGTAATCCTACCACTTGATGGAATAGACATCGATCGTTCCGGGCACGATCGTAAGCTCATTAAAAGTGCAAGATTGTTGCCAATATTTCCGTTTATTCATCGATCATTGATAATCTTTGTGGACAAAGGTGGGAATCAAAGCCTGACCCACTTTATATAGTCCTGATTTTTCTTTCAGTGCAATTGCTAGGCCGTAAGATATTTATCTTACCCTTCTGACTCAAATAAAGATGCAAATGATTCCGTACTGGATTGCAATAAAAAACCTCCAACCCCACGACCAAGTGACAGACTTGGCTGCCAACACGTAGACAAACAATGCAACAAGGATGTGAGTCCAGAGGGTAGACTGGACCTTGCCAGTCTGGGCACTGGACTCTGGTCTCTGGTCCTGTGTGATCAAGGCAGACAAGTGGAGTCTATTAAAACACTAACGTCACGTCACGGCGCCGAATGATGAATGTGGCCTAAGGACGAAGACAAGAGTGCAGGCGAAAATCGTCCAAAAACGAACGAGGCGAAAGGATAACAGATCCTGGCTAGTGCAGTGCCTGGCTAGTCCATGGATGAATACCAATCAGAGAAACAATTGGCAAGCCGTCGTCCTCCGGCAAACAGGATGTGATGGCAATTTAAGTCAGACAGTCACTCAAAATGGCTTTTTCTCTGCGTATTCTGTACACCAGCCGTATTGCCATCCATCTGTCCATGGTGCCATAGGAGGCGTGGTAAACGCACCGCCCACGCCCCTGCAACTGCAACATGGCCAATTGCCCCTCACATACATATGTATGTGTGCTTGTGTCTGATGGTGAGTGACCGGAAGTGAGGAAGTGCGCCCCTTTTGCATCGCCATCATGAAGTCATTCACTCAATTTATCGTTTGATGAATGTCCTGGCAGATAGTCCTGGCAGGCATCCTACTGCCACTGCTGTTGCTGCTTTGGGGCGTAGCTCTAGTTGCTGTTGTTTGCCCCACCACCGCCCATATACACAGACACACGTTTAATGGCCATTTGAGCAGTTGATAAACGTTTCGCTCGTTTGCGTTGATGAAATGTTGTCGTTGTCGTTGTCCTTGTTTGTCCTGCGCTGCATTGTTTATTTATGTATGCCCGGCATATGGAGCACATGCCACATGCCGCATCCTTTGGCTCCGTTTAGTTTTTGTGCTTATTATACCCTTGCAGAGGGTATTATAATTTTGTCCAAAAGTGTGCAACGCAGTGAAGGAGACATCTCCGACCCTATAAAGTATATATATTCTTGATCAGGATCACCTCCTGAGTTGATATGAGCATGTCCGTCTGTCCGTCTGTCCGTCTGTCTGTCCGTCTGTCTGTCTGTCCGTTTCTACGCGAACTAGTCTCTCAGTTTTGAAGCTATCGTCTTGAAACTTTGCACACACCCTTCTTTCCTTTGCACGCAGTATATAAGTCGGAATGGCCGGGATCGGCCGACTATATCCTATAGCTGCCATATAACTGATTGATCGGAAATGGTATAAGTTTGGTGTTTGTAAATTTAGAGACTTTAAATTTAACATGAGAGCTATTTTTGGCGACAAATTACGACATGCCAAATTTCATAAGGATCGGCCGACTATATCTTATAGCTGCCATATAACTGAACGATCGGAAATGACCCAACTTTCGTGTTTTTGAAGATAGAAAGCTGGAATTTGCTACAGATTATATTTTTGTTCAGTTAACCCGACCTACGAAATTTCATTAGGATCGGCCGACTATATCCTATAGCTGCCATATAACTGAACGATCGGAAATGGTATTTGGTAGAAATATCAACTTTCGTATTTTTGAAGATAGAAGCTTGGGACTTTTTTTTAGATTTTTTATTGTAATTAATTGGTTTTATTATGATGTAATCATAAGGATCGGCCAACTATATCCGATGTTTGCGATATATATCCAGTTTTAACTGCAAGGGTATATAAACTTCGGCTCCGCCCGAAGTTAGCTTTCCTTTCTTGTTTCTAATTGTTTTTGTTTGTTTAGCTTTCGGGGCTGGTTCGTCATGCGGTGCTTTTTTTGATTTACCGGATTTTTTTACCGGAGGAGTCCGGAATTTGTGAAGCTCTTTTTTTGGCAGCTCGAAAGTTGAGCCGTGCCCTTGGTGCAATTGGCCTGATGACAATGACACTATTATGATGTCACAGTCTGACAGGCGACACACTCGTTCAGGATACAGGGAGTGTCGGGAGTGGTTCTTCAGCACTCTTCTCATGGTTTATAGCACTCTTCTCATTCAACTAAGGACATTGTTTAGGAGTGGATGATGTTTTTTTAGTTTTTGGATGGGTTTTTTGAAAGGCCTGAAGGGTTTGATAAAGCCAGGTCCTTGACCATGAATTTCCAGAATTTAAAAGCTTGCTTTTTCCATCAAAACAATTAATCAAATGGCTTATATTACAAATGGAAAAGCCATCATAAATATGCACATTCATAAACAACACATCACCCATTTAAAAAACAATCCAAAAGGAAACAAAAACTCTACATTTAGGGCTCAACAAATAGCCACACAAATAGGCAAACACAAATCGTTGAAAAAGAAAGCCCAACTATAAACTGTTGGCTTTAAATTTGTAATAAAAATGCATTTACACCTCGCCCGAAAAAAAAAATAGGGAGAGCTGGAGCCACAAAAGCCAAAGCTCCAAAATGAAAAATAAATAGATTCGGGGACTGAAATATGAAATAGAAATATGGAATGGAAAACCGAACCCATCACACAAAAACAAAGAACAGCCCCATCCAACACTAATAATTCGCTTTTATTGAGTGTTTCTGGTGCAATAAAAAACATTTCGGCTGGATTTCCCTTCTGCTGGTCGTAAAAAATATTTGGATTTTATTGACCAGAGAGAGAGCCTCGGCCAAAATGCAAGATCATTTCGATATGCAGCGAACGGGTTGCATCGCACGGCGTCCAATCTATCCCTTCTCAGCCTCCCCCGTGGCGGGAAGAGGGTGGCCTATTAAAGAAACTTAACGAGCCAACAAATTACTACACGTCATAAAAATCAAATCACAAAAATACACCAAAACACGGCGCGACTCGGCGACGTGGCAATCTAAAAATAATACTCCTGATGCGCCCTCGAAACGACTTCTTCATTTTTTTTTTTTTGGTTTGAGGGGCAGCACTTGGTGGTGCCATCGGGTGTCATTATCAAAAATGATTTAAAAGCACAGTTGCGGTGGCATTAAACGGATTTTCCAATGCCAATGTATGGGATGGGAAGGTCTTAGCCAAAGGTGTTTTAAAGAAATTAGGCAAGCATGATGCTATGATTCGAGATCCTTTTCAGAGGATCAAGCGGGTATCTTTATTCATAGGGATAGATTAAGTTTGGTAGACAGAAAGAAGACCCAAAACAAATGTTACTTGATGGCAGATTTTCGCGAACTTTCTCCAAACATTGGGAGACGGCGCATTTTAGGGTCCTCCTCGTTGACACTGAACACCGTGTGTATGGAAGCGGTTTCCTGCGACTTTTCAATCTTCTCCCTGACGGAGGCCCGGTGGTAGCGCGCGATATTTACATGCCCCATGGTGCCCACTCTTGTGTCCAAACGCGATTGCTTCGGATGGCGTCGCATCCAGGTCCAAGGCTTTTGAGGATCGTAGGGCTCGTGAATAAGCACCGGAATCTGTTCGCCCAGATACATATGGTAATTCTGTTTTAGACGATTATGACTTTTTTTTGCCATCTTTAAGGAATTCAAGTTGGCAGCCTTGCGTTCTGTAGCCGACAGTGTACCCCGATGGAGAGATGCCAATCGCTCCTTGAATTTTGGCTGAGAGGGCGTCGCCGACATTGCTTCATTGTAATTTTTGGAAATTTCTTTGGCATAGGTCTTGTGAACATGTGCCGTGGTCTTAGGCACGTGAGTGGGTTCTAGATTGAGGTTTCTGATGGCCTGTATCAAATCGTTCGGGTGTCGGGTCAAAAGAGTCCTTTGATTGAGAAGATCGATCATTGCAGTAAGCTCTTCTGCCTGAATGATAGAGAATCTGCCTGGAACACCGAGCTGTTCATCAAAATTGAAATCATTGATATTGAAGTCCTCCAGAGTCCTCGGCTCCACCGCTTTCCAGAAATCAGCTCCAACATCGATCCCAAATGGCTTTTCGGGTACTTCATGATACAATATACTTCGGATCTTCTGGGCCCGGAAATCTGCTTCCCGTAGCCGTCGCTTACCATTATGGCGGGCCGCCGAGGAGCTGTCTATACCGGCCCGTTTGGCCCTATCCGCGTCCCTGTCGTGAGGAGCGTTTGGTGACACTAAGAAGTCCCTGATGGACGAATGCTGGCGGCTTTCTCCGTTCCTCAGCGTCGTCTGAATCAGTCGCATCAGCATCTGCAGCGCGTTCTTGTGGAAGGGATTCCGCACATTGCCGCGCGTATCGAAGATGGACATGTACTGGGTGCAGATGTTCCCGCTTGTGAACGGCACATTGCACGGACTTGCCGGTTGGCTGCTATAAGGATCGATGATCTTCCTGAAGTTCTGCATGGTGAGGGAGTAGAGAAAGTCGAGAACTACATCCGGCGGGCGGTTCAGGGAGATCGCCAACGATAGGATAATGTGCCGGTGGACGTCAAACCAGCGGCCCTTGGCGTCCGTCTTTAGACAGGAACAGCCTCTGTTGATCATGGAGAGCAAGTGACGTTGCTTCTCCGATACCACTTTCGGCGCAGCGATTCCGAATGGCTTCTTCGAAGAGTCCTTCGGTGGGGGTTTCTGCTTGGGGCGGCAGGCGCACTGCGCTATCCGCTCGAAACAGGAGCCCCTGCCGAAGAGACTCTTGGCGAAGACACCATTCCTCATGCTGTACATTCCTTACCTTTAATTTCTTGGATAAATAGGGATTAATATAAAATATAAGCCTCTTATCCCCAAAATTTTTTTTATTAAACTGACATACGATTTTTTAAAAAAGTGCCTCAATGAATCGCTCTGAAATTCAAAATCCGAGACATATGATACCAATACACCTCCAAGTCGAATCATTCGTCCATGGATCCAAGCTCTACTGACGGGACCAGCTCCTTGCCCATGATTTCCGTGTCGGGGTCCGAGTTCTCCTCCGTTTCTACAGAGTCCCACACCGTGTTCCACGAGTGGCCGCAGGGATTTAGAATTTTAAGCACAATCTCCAGGGTGACGGGGCGCAGAAACTCGCTCATCATAACGAAACACCGTTGGATCCGCTTTTCCATTTCTAGCACCACCGTCCGAGATCCCGTCATCCAGTGCTCCCGGATGCTGCCCAGATTGGGACATCCGGGTACCCGTTCGTGGGAGGGTGGTGGTACACTGCCCACCTCCAGGTCCGACTCATCCAGCCAGGGCTTGTTCTGAAGGAACGGCTCTGGATTAGTCATGGCGACCCGGTGGTAATCGGCCAGACTTGAAATCCGTTGGGAACTCCGGCAAACGCAGGCCATCATGTGGTAGAAACATCTCCCCGAACGGAAGAGGCCGGTAATCAAAGTCCTTCTCATCCTGCGTTTTTAGTGCGAAACTGGTAATTTTATTTTCTATATCCTTAAAATAGAAAGTGGCACTATTTACTTCCGAAACACAAAAAGGTATAATGACAGATTGGAGAAAGGAAAGGAGATTTCTAAATTTAAAAAAATGTTTTTTCATAATATCCCAAAAAGGACACAAGTGAGTAAAACCTTTTGAAAACTTCTCGAGCCACCCAGGTGTCGGTCGGTGTAACTCTCACCTGACCCCCCACCTGAATGATTTATGCCGAATGAAAGGCAAACACAATGGAAGGCAAGGTGGAAAAGGCGAACTGAAAAATAAACGTCAACTTGAAGATTGCAAAAATAAACCAAGTCGGAATATGACAATACACCACCCCCAGGAGCACTCCAACCCACTCTTGGCCATATCCACTTGCTTGAGCACTTTACGATGGCACCAACAACAATTAACACTCACACAGCCACTCACACACACACGGCTAGTCACACTCACACACCCACCCACAATGAGGTAAAAACAAAGCAGGCGCAAAACGTTAAATAAACAAAAGAAGGAAAAAGAACACCAAAGGCACCAACTAGCCCATTCCAATTGGATGAGGGAGCGAGATAGAATTGGTTACGGGCGGAGGGGAAGTTGGGAAGTGTGAGAGCGCTGTATGAGGGGAAAAAGTGGGGCAATGTGGAACGTTGGGTTTGGAATGCCAACCGCAGCTGTCTCTGCAAAAAGGGGAAACAGGAGAGAGTTCCAATTAGCAGAGCTCTCTCACTCTCACTCTCTCTTTCTCTGATTGGAATTGAAACAAATCTGCAGAAGAGTGTAAAAATGAGAGATTGTTGTTCTCCGCAGAAGGCTGGGAAGAGAGTGGCTCTCCAACACAAACAAAGTCACACAAACACACATACTCTTAAACAGCTCTGCTTGCCGGCGGCAGAGGCAGAGGCGTCGAGGCACGACCTCCACAACATAGCCCCCACCTACCAGAGACCCCACTTCGCCATTCCCCACAACAACAAAGCTAAGCAGGTTTGTAACTTGTTGGTGGGAAACTGCTTAAGAAAAGGATAAGATTTAAGGATAATTTATGATTTAAGATCTAAGATATATTAAGGTTTAATATCTTTATTTTAATATATAATAAAAACTGGAGAAACAATTCTCAAACTTGAATATTTATTTAAACATTAATACCAACCTATATTAACTTAACTTTCTCAGTACCATAAACTGATTAAGTCTCACCCGAAAATTACCAGAAAAAGATATGTAAACTATCCGAAAAATTCCAGAATATCAAGAACAGATAGATCACAATTCATTACCATATAGCTCATTGGATTTTATCGGGTCAAGAATAGAGATGGGTCTTTGATCTGATCCATTTCCGAGATGGAGATCAGCGATTCGCGGATGATTAACACCTTGGATATCCCGTTGCAAAGAAGGAAGATTATGAAAGTATATTTCAAATGAGAGGTGGGGGATATGGGAAATGTGAGGAAGTGGGGGCATCTCCATGGTTCTGATCCATCAGATCACACCTGAGTTCGATAGAGGTTGCAGTTCAAAGGGCTGCCGCCCGACGGCGGCAAACAAACAAATAAACAAATTAGACACTCATTCGATTGTTGGAATTATGATGAGAACCAATCAGCAGTGCCACCACTACGCCGTTTGAAGTTCTTTTGACCCGGTCCACGGAAGCAGCCGCCTTTAATCTCCCAACCGGCTAATGGGCCCCACAATGGGCCCAGGTGAAAGACACTTCCGTGGCGGCCTTTTTGTGGCTCATTGTGGGTGGCAACCACCGCATCTCAAAAATCGAACCGTCGCAACCACCAGGCACTGCCACTTCAGATTGGCGCCTGCAAGTATTACTTATATTCCATATCAGCTAATTTTTAATATTTTACCGACTCTGGAGAATGCCTGGAAAAATGCTTTGAACTCTTCTCGATTCGTATCTCTTTCAGAGCTATGAAATTTATGGATGAAGAGCCCCCGAAAACCAAAAACCAGAAAACCGAATACCTGGATCATAAATTGTTTGAAATTATGCGTAAATAAAGCAAAACCGCGTGTACGACCCACAGACCGTTTGATGTTGGCCGGTTCTTCTGCCCCGGATTAGTTTGATGTGTTTGAGGGAGGTGGAAATCAGTGGGGTCAGAGGGCTACCTAAATCATATTTGGTATTTCCTCAGGAATAGGGAAGTTGCACACATGAAAGTTTTCCAAAGGAACGGAAAAATATGAAACATTTCTCATACTGAAGGGTTTGTATTGCCAAACTGTCATTTGAAATTATATTTCCAAAACAATACTATTGAAATTATACAAAACTAATAGAACCTAAAAAATGAATTACTCTGCGGCTTATATGGAAAACTTTGAGGATCGTTGGAGGACCGAGCATCCCGATGATGCCTTCCTATCACCCTACCGGCCTACCACCCTGCCCAAGGAGAATAACTACTATAAGGACTTTGCCTTCCAGGATCCGGTTTCAGTAGTTCAGAAGACACTTATACCTGACAATTCTTCGCCATGTCTTCCCGAGGAAATTATCGTAATACAAAGCGAATCCGAGGCGAATAATACCTTTTGGATTGCAGTGAGCGGCTATAAAGTTGATAAAGCCTATATCGTCTATCGATTCTTTCACGATATAGGCCTCATTGTGGGCAAGAGTTTGAACAAAACCAACATCATGTATCTAAAGTATCTCAGTGTACTGGATTGCGAAATAGCCCTGAGCTATGATGGCCAAAGGATCGGCTACGGCGGCGATATCCGGGTGATAGTAAAGCTGGAGAATCCTGTCACCAAAAACAACATCATTCAAGATCTGGAGCAAAGCTGCAAGAAACAACGTAAAGTCCCAACTCCAATAAATGTATCGATGTGGAACTCCTCCATCGATGTGGAGGACGAAACTGAAGCCATGGATGTTGAGCCACCAAATAAAGTAGATACAGAAAATGTTTCAAAGCATCAGAATGAGGTCAAATACAAAAGAGTTGGCCTTTTGCAGTGGTTCAAAGAAAAATTGGCTTATGTGTTCTATTTTTACTAGAATTTCTGTTTATAGTTTTGGTTAGCCATTTTGCATGTTTTTGGTAAATAAATAAAAAAAGAGTCTTCGAAGACAATATATATGCTATTTTCAAAGGGCGAATCGATCCACAATTAATTTAAGCTATTCCGTTTAAGAATCTGATAAATATTGGCCAAGATATGGCTTTCGCTGTGGGCCATATTATGGCAACCACTGTTTTCCCCATTTTCATAGGGGGTCCATCAGAAAAGTTAATTGAAAATTCAAAAAAAATTGAGTCTTTATGTTTTGATGCAGATTAGTGGAGAATCGATCCACAATTAATTAAAGCTATTCCGTTTAAGAATCGAATGAATATTGGCCAAGATATGGCTTTCGCTTTGGGCCATATTATGGCAACCACTGTTTTCCCCATTTTCATAGGGGGCCCATCCGAAAATTTGATTGAAAATTCAAAAAAAATTGAGTCTGTATGTTTTGATGCAGATTAGTGGAGAATCGATCCACAATGAATTTAAGCTATTCCGTTTAAGAATCGGATAAATATTGACCAAGATATGGCTTTCGCTGTGGGCCATATTATGGCAACCACTGTTTTCCCCATTTTCATAGGGGGTCCATCAGAAAATTTGATTGAAAATCCAAAAAAAATTGAGTCTGTATGTTTTGATGCAGATTAGTGGAGAATCGATCCACAATTATTTAAAGCTATTCCGTTTAAGAATCGAATGAATATTGGCCAAGATATGGCTTTCGCTTTGGGCCAAATTATGGCAACCACTGTTTTCCCCATTTTCATAGGGGGTCCATCCGAAAATTTGATTGAAAATTCAAAAAAAATTGAGTCTGTATGTTTTGATGCAGATTAGTGGAGAATCGATCCACGATGAATTTAAGCTATTCCGTTTAAGAATCTGATAAATATTGGCCAAGATATGGCTTTCGCTGTGGGCCATATTATGGCAACCATTGTTTTCCCCATTTTCATAGGGGGTCCATCCGAAAATTTGATTGAAAATTCAAAAAAAATTGAGTCTGTATGTTTTGATGCAGATTAGTGGAGAATCGATCCACAATTAATTTAAGCTATTCCGATTAAGAATCTGATAAATATTGGCCAAGATATGGCTTTCGCTGTGGGCCATATTATGGCAACCACTGTTTTCCCCATTTTCATAGGGGGTCCATCAGAAAAGTTGATTGAAAATTCAAAAAAAATTGAGTCTGTATGTTTTGATGCAGATTAGTGGAGAATCGAATCACAATGAATTTAAGCTATTCCGTTTAAGAATCGGATGAATATTGACCAAGATATGGCTTTCGCTGTGGGCCATATTATGGCAACCACTGTTTTCCCCATTTTCATAGGGGGTCCATCAGAAAAGTTGATTGAAAATTCAAAAAAAATTGAGTCTGTATGTTTTGATGCAGATTAGTGGAGAATCGATCCACAATGAATTTAAGCTATTCCGTTTAAGAATCGGATGAATATTGACCAAGATATGGCTTTCGCAGTGGGCCATATTGTGACTACCACTATTTTCCCCATTTTCATAGGGGGTCCATCAGAAAATTTGATTGAAAATCCAAAAAAAATTGAGTCTGTATGTTTTGATGCAGATTAGTGGAGAATCGATCCACAATGAATTTAAGCTATTCCGTTTAAAATCGGATGAATATTGACCAAGATATGGCTTTCGCTGTGGGCCATATTATGGCAACCACTGTTTTCTCCATTTTCATAGGGGGTCCATCAGAAAATTTGATTGAAAATTCAAAAAAAATTGAGTCTGTATGTTTTGATGCAGATTAGTGGAGAATCGATCCACAATTAATTTAAGCTATTCCGTTTAAGAATCTGATAAATATTGGCCAAGATATGGCTTTCGCTGTGGGCCATATTATGGCAACCACTGTTTTCCCCATTTTCATAGGAAAATTTGATTGAAAATTCAAAAAAAATTGAGTCTGTATGTTTTGATGCAGATTAGTGGAGAATCGATCCACAATGAATTTAAGCTATTCCGTTTAAGAATCGAATGAATATTGGCCAAGATATGGCTTTCGCTTTGGGCCATATTATGGCAACCACTGTTTTCCCCATTTTCATAGGGGGTCCATCCGAAAATTTGATTGAAAATTCAAAAAAAATTGAGTCTGTATGTTTTGATGCAGATTAGTGGAGAATCGATCCACAATGAATTTAAGCTATTCCGTTTAAGAATCGAATGAATATTGGCCAAGATATGGCTTTCGCTTTGGGCCATATTATGGCAACCACTGTTTTCCCCATTTTCATAGGGGGCCCATCCGAAAATTTGATTGAAAATTCAAAAAAAATTGAGTTTGTATGTTTTGATGCAGATTAGTGCAGAATCGATCCACGATGAATTTAAGCTACTCCGTTTAAGAATCGGATGAATATTGACCAAGATATGGCTTTCGCTGTGGGCCATATTATGGCAACCACTGTTTTCCCCATTTTCATAGGGGGTCCATCAGAAAATTTGATTGAAAATCCAAAAAAAATGGAGTCTGAATGTTTTGATGCAGGTTATTGGAGAATCGATCCACAATGAATTTAAGCTATTCCGTTTAAGAATCGGATGAATATTGGCCAAGATATGGCTTTCGCTGTGGGCCATATTATGGCAACCACTGTTTTCCCCATTTTCATAGGGGGTCCATCCGAACATTTGATTGAAAATCTAAAAAAAATTGAGTCTGAATGTTTTGATGCAGATTAGTGGAGAATCGATCAATCATTTAGCCAAGGTACTTCAATCTTTTCTAAATGTTATCAATGTACGAAGAAACAAAAGTTTGATTCATTTTTGACATAACTTTTTAAAATCAATTCCCTTCTATTGAAGATCAAATTCCGTTGGCATGGCTTTACTAATTATTTGAGTACCATTGTTTAACTAATCAATGGGCACAAATCACCCACTACAATGTTCAGTTCAGATAAAATTAAATTCACATTGTTCGGAAATGCATTTCTGGCATGAACCGCCAACGCGGGTGGCCATCGTGACCATTATAGAATTTTTAATTACAATAAATCAATTTAAATAAAATGTAATTTTTCAATTTTATCAAATTGTCATTATGCGTAATTAATTCCTATGCACAAATGCATTTTAGTGCGACAGCGCCCGGGCCGCCCAACTGGCGCCATCTACCGCCGGGCGGCCAAACTATTGTGCGCCCCGTGGCCGCCTTCCACTTTTCTGGTTTTGGTCCTCAGGTGGGGGTGGGTTGCAGGCGCATTGCATTGTGTATGCATTTGTTTTGTCAAAAATAATGCTGCTTAATTATTATATTTGTAATTTATTTGCCCCATAGTTATCAGATCCAAATGCTAAAAAGTTTGCGCGGTGCTTTAATGCCACATTAATCCCGCACAACAACACCAACAACGACAACTAACTATGCCGATGCCACAACAAACGCACTCAAAATGGGAATGACAGTAACAAACAACAAAAGCAATTCAAATGCAGCGCATAGAATGCATAATTAATTTTTATTTTGATGACAACGTCAACGCACCATCACCATCCAACCAGGCCCACAAGCCGCCCACCGATGCCACCGACCATTTTTCCAAACCTATTCTCTAGGGTGCTCTTTGGCATGTCCACTGCAATTATTTTGGATTGGATATATATGTACATACATACATATGTGCGAAATCGTGTATATCGTTTTGTTAAATATCAGGAGTATCCTAGAGTGGACACGAAAATGAGCGACAGTTTTGATCGAAAGGGTGTTATGATAAGTCACAGTGGACTTTATAGATTAAAAAAAAAATATTTAAAAAAAAAATGAGTTTCAAAATATATGTAAATATTGTAGACTTAAAAAGGAAACCTTTTAATACAAAGTATACCATAAAGAAGCTTAACCATTTGCCTAGAATTACATATATTGTTAGAGATTAAAATACTCGTAGGAATTAGTTTAGTCCTAAAGCCTATTATCCTAACCAATTTGTAAAATGGCGCCATGTTGACGCCTCTAACTGCGCTTCCCCACACTGGTGGCTGGATGGCTGGCTGGCCGGCGAAAACCAGCAAACTGCGTTTACCCACACTTGACCGCGAAAAGAGGGCTGAGACCTAAAAGACCAGCACATGTCAGGTTAAACACAAATTAACCTCATTTGACAAAACAAAGCGGGCAACGGTAAAATGGATAATTTGTTAAATAAATTGCTCGATTTTTATGGAAAGCATTCAAATATTTGGTTCTGGTTCGGCTGCTGGTTCTGGTTGGTATTTGTAAACTGCTTATTTGCATACGATGATAAATAAAAACGAAATTAAAATTCTTTTGTTATGCTTTTCCATAATCTCTTTTGTTTTGTTGTTCTGCCTTCGATAGATACAAATCCGTTTTATTTGTTTTTTGAAAATGTTGTTTAATTTTTATGCCTTCCGTTGGCCATTTTTACCCCCTAACCTCCCACTGGACCAAACATTTGGCGGCTGTCGCCAATTATCCGCCACCGCCCCCAGGTTGGCGGTGTGAATGTAAATCCTCTAAAATTATTGCGTTCATTAAATTTTAAACAAAGGTGATTAGATTTTATAATTTAAATGGACACACGCACATAGTAACACGGCTAAGCCGAAGCGAAAAGTTTTGCAGTAGGTACAGTTGTGCTCATTATTTATTTAAAACAATTGCAAAAAGTATTTTGGAATTGTATTCACTAGCTTCCTTATATATTAGTGGCTTTATTCTATTCTCTCTTTTTATTTTCCACCTGACGCTATCGCTATGTGGGGATCAAGTAATTTTTTTCATACACAAATTCGTTTTGCTATTTTCTAATCATTTTTGGTCATTTTAATTAATTCCTCTTATATAGTTTAGCTAAACAATTGTAATTTTGTACAGCTTTTTGTTCGATATTATTAATTCAGTACCAGCAGAATTTTAATTATATTCAACCTAATTGAAAATTATTACAGTCCCTCGGATGGGAGGATAGGAGTAGGCTTTGAAAAGTGTGTTATTACATTTTTTTTTAGAAGAAAACCTACTTTTCTGAAAGCTATCAATAAAGACGTGTGGTGGCAAGATGCTGAGGTACATGAAATGTATGATTATACTTTCCGGAACATTTTTCCTCCTCTACTTCGGCCTGCACCCTTTGAGTAAGCTTTTTGGCGACGATTCCCCACCAGATCAGTATCGGGAGTTCACCTTGATCAACACCTCCAAATGCCATTTGGTTGGCCGGCATATTCCTCCACCCATCACCCGAACCCACGAGAATATTCTCTCATTGCGATGCAACAAGGTACAGTTAATGTTTACGGATACCAGGAATGATGGAAACTACCTGATGCCCAGTCAAGTTCTTGAAGAGTTGTGGTGCCACTACTGGCTTTATGTTCCTGAGAATTGGAAGACGGATAAGTTATTAGGAGATGGACAGTTCAACTTAATGCCATATGCCCAAGACGGCTTCAAGGTTGGCACTGGCCGGCAGACAGTGCGAGTCCTGTGCAAAAGTGCTTCAAAGGAAATCAAATACCACGACGTTCACTTCTTTCTGCCACCCCCTGAGCCGGATCTGATTCCTAAAGATGAGAATGATGACAAAATGTCGGTACTGATTTTGGGCATAGACTCTTTATCCACGATGGTATTTCTCCGGAACTTCCCATTCTTGACAGGCCTCTTGTCTTATTTGCCGAACACCGCGTTTTGGGGCTATAGTCGAGTGGGCTTGGGTGCCTATGAGAACGTTATGGCACTTCTTAGTGGACGTAGCATCGACGAATTGGATCCAGACTGGCCAACCCCAGAGGATGAAACTGAAAGCCCCTCATATAAGGAGGCTAGAGGTCCGCATTTCCTTTGGGAGAAGTTCAAAGCCGCTGGCTACAGGACTGCCTACGGAGAGGATACCGCCCAGAGCTTTGCCAGCCGGACCGAAAGATGGAGATTTTCCAGGGAGTTCCCGGAATATAATCTGCATCCTATAATGTTGGAGATGGATCGTAACACACGCTACAGCATTGATGTCCGTGAAATGATTCACTGTACAGCGGGCCGTGAGTTTGGAGGTGTTCTGCGAGACTTTATTACCAGTCTGGTGCCTCATTTCAAGCAAAGCCCGTTTTTCTCCTTTTTCTGGGAGTCGCAGGGCGTTGAGGAGTACTACCAGTACTCACGGACCCTGGATGTGGCCTACTTGATGCTTTTAAAGCGTTTGGAGGAAGAGAATATCCTTAATAAGACGCTGGTTCTCCTGGTGTCCGGACACGGGCTGCGGAAGGGAAATTACAGGATGAGCTACCAGGGCATGCAGGAGGAGTCGCAGCCTCTACTGGTTGCCATTTACCCAGAGTGGCTAAAGGCAAAGTATCCCATGGCCATTTCGAATCTTGAGATCAATTCCAGAAGTCTGGTAACTGCATACGATCTGCACGAGACGTTAGAGGATGTGCTGCACTTGGATCAGCTGAAGGACTCCAACTTGCAGAAACGGATGAGTGACCTGGAGTCAAGAGATGGAAAAAGTATGCCTCGAGGGATAAGTCTCTTTCTACCGATTCCGGATGCGAGGACCTGTGACATGGCCGGAATACCCTCTCTGTTTTGCTTCTGCCGGGAGCTTACGGAAGTGCCCACGGATGATGGCCTGGTGCTCCGTTGCAGTCGCTTTCTGGTGAAGTCCATTAACGAAATGCTCAAACCATATCCAATTTGCCAACAACTGAAGCTTCATATGGTGATGGTGGCCTATTTTGTGGACTTTGGTGAGGAATCCTTCATCTATGAGTTGCGGCTGAGGGTGAAGACCATGCCGGGGGAGGGAATTTTCGAGGGCACGGTCCGGCTCACGGACCAGATGCATCTGACCAGTCCCATCAATCGGATCAGCCGGTACCTGAGCCGATCCACCTGCATCGGGGAACCCTACATCAAAACAATGTGCCATTGCCTGAATTAAGAAATTATCGGTAATCTTTTATCGGTCATCCAATATTTTATCACTTTTGTTAAACAAAGCCCATTACATTTGGGTTTAGTAACATCCAATCCCCGTATTTTTATTGACCATATAATAAAGAGAATTTCTTCTGCGAAAATATTTTTCATTTATCAATTACAATAATCAACACTATCCTTTTGGGCCCATGTCGGATAATTTGCGTCAAAGTGTCAGTTTGTTTGAAGAGTCTGCTCCACTGGGTCTGCGCATATGAGCGACATGCAATTGAATTAAAATTAAAATATATAAATGCCACCACCGCGCACAGCCAATACCAGAGTTATAAATTTAAAAAAATAATTAAAAACCATTTGCATGGCAAGTCGCTTTCAATTATGGCAAAATGTCCTAAAATGAACGCATTTTCCACTGATTGTTGGCGATTGTTGTCAGGCCTCAGGTTGCGACAGCTCGGAAACCTCCTCCGTTGACAGCGGGACAATGGATAAATTGAAATGTGTCCTCCACTGGACGTGATCCACTGGCTCCCCATTCCAGTCTCTGAAAAAAGTCATCCACCCCAGTTCCAAAAAGTGCGTTTCAGGCATAAAAAATATTAAGCTGTGAAAGCCTGCAATTGCAGTTGCGTCATTGAAATATTTAACACCTTGATTAATTTCAATGAAGTGCGGAGGACCATACCTAAAAATGGATCAGAGAAATGTCCATATCAGCAGACCAAGAAATGAATTTGTTAAGAGTTAATAAGAATAAATATTTCCAATCCAAAGCGACCACACGGCGATTAGATTTCCAGTCAACAACGACAACCTCAATTTCGTTTGGGAGTATAAATCTCGAATTGGTCAAACGGGTAATCACTCAAATCGCTCTGATTTGGTAAGAATTGGTTACGGCCATAAATAAACTAACGCCACGGAACTGGATGTGGACTGATGAGAGGCGGAGAGCTCATAAATTAATTCAATCAATGTCAAAATAAAATTGATATTTTCACGTCCAGAGAACTACAGGTGATCTTATCGCTAATTAATGTGAACGTCCCGGGCCTCGAAGAGTGAATGCCCATAATGGGGTTTGTAATCGATATGAGCTGGGGATGACACACATATTAAGGTTATAAATTTGCATGGTCTAGTTATTTTTTCCATCCAAACAAATTATTATGGGTAGAATGGAGCAGGATTAAATGCTGTGAGTTATGTGGAGTTATTATTAAATAATGTGTTGTGGAAAAGTATGAGGTCAATTTTGATTACCCAGTGAGGTGGATAAATGATTATAAATTAAACATAATAATATCTACCGGTTTCATGTCTTAATGCCTGTTTTGTAGTCTCAATTTCTTACACAACTGAACATATTTCCGGAGATAGCACGGTGATGAATTCATAGCCATCGAAGTCAATCAAACACTCATCTGTCAAGTGACAAACGATTTTTAAAATCACTTCGCCGAAGCTCCGAGTCAACTTGCAAGGAGAGTGAAGAAAAAAAAATATTCATAGAACATGGAAAGCGGAAACAGACACTTTAAATGCTTGCGATATTGTCAATCAAAATTCAATCGAAGCCATGAATCATGCCGGGGAAGAGGCTACAAGGGGGCAATGGTTATGCTGATGGCTCCTGACTCACCAAGTTGACGGATGGATAGATGGATGGATGCCTCAATGGATGAATGCAGAAACTGCCAGCCAGTGGCAGTTGGAAAAAATAACAGCTCGATGGGAAAAAGATGAAATGGAATCACTCAGCATGAGGATGCGTGCTGAGTGATGGCTGTGTCGGATATGTGACAAGTGGCGGAGGAGAAGCATTTAACACACTGGCATCCTGCCGACGTCGCCAAAGGAACCCGACTGGAATGCGAATCCCTACCAGAACCCCACCAAACACCCATCCGAACTGCGGAGCACTGTCATCAGTCAATGTCACTGTGATAGTTTTGACATTTTTATGAGCAAATGATAAGTCTTACTCTGATGGCTGGCTGTCTGGGCGATGGCCAATGTTTGACACTTGCCAGCCACAAAATATTTTGCAAGCACACATCCCATCACATCACATCCCCCATCCACGGGCTATAAGAATTCCGAATTCTTTTCGCCAAGTATTTATGACCCTGGGCTTGGCACTCCAGCACAGGCAACGACCGGGTCTCCAGCACCTACTTATCGCCCCCGATGTGTGTATATTTTTAAAATTTAACTCTGACAGAGTTAACAAGCGTGTGGTCCTCCTATCGTCGTCAATTCGGCAATGGCAATCAATCAAAGCGATTTCATAGCCGCCGCACGTCACACTCACCGACGGTCGTTAAAGTTGAAAATTTGCTGGATCGTTCACGTGTTTAATGACTGACTTTGACACTAGATCCATAAAACCGATAGCCAGAGTGGGACGAGCACTAAAGGGCTTACAACTGCCACACCAGACACCAGGAATATATATATAATTTTTTTATGGTTTGTCTCCAGCGATGATGGAGTTTAATAAAGGTTTCAGCTCTTTCCTGCCAAATATTCGGCTAACTAAAATCGAATTGCATTTATCTGCCTTGGTCCGTGGAGTCGAAGCTGGCCATAAATTTCACCCGAAATTGATTTCCTGATATCATCTATATAAATAAAATTTTAGCAAAAAGAATTGCGTAAAACAATAATTTGGGGTTAGAAGAGCGCGACAGATTCTGACCATTAATAACTGTGTGCGATTTGCATTGTGAAAATTCATTTTTGCCTACTAATATTGACTTCCGTTTCCGCTCCACGGATCCAAAGTATGTTTCCGCCATTCTTTCGACTCTCTGGTCATCCAACAATTTTTTCCCATACACTCTAACCTCTCACCTACTCGCCGGGTGCCGGGAAAATTTTGTTATCGTCGCAATTACAACAAAATCAATTTTCCATGAAATGCCACTGCTGTAGAGACAACAAATGGCAACAAAAAACACCCACAAACGATATTTACAAATCAGACAAATAAATTTTTAAATAAATACCCATATGCACAACATTTGACATTTATTAATTAAAAATGTGAGAAAATTTATATTAATTTTATTCAAATTGTCAACGGCAACAAAAGGAAGCTAATTTCAATTTATTTATTTGTACCATTCAGGTTTGTCAACTGCATGTTTTATGCACCAAAGTCGCATAGATGAAAATTGGCATTCTAAAACCATAAATAACTTTTTATTTTATAGATAATTGCATATGTAAAAAAAATTAAAGGAGTAAAGGAAAACACATTTTTATCTTTTGTTTTAAAAGCCATAGCAGTGAAAATTTATTAAAAGAACTTTGGGTACTTTTATGAAGCCTTGGAGGTTTTTCTCCTTCTTCTTTCATTTCTTAAACTAGCAAGCTTTCTGAACAAAATAATAGCATAAAGCCATAACAAAACAATCTGCATGAAAATTGATACTACAAGAGTAAAATATCCGATTCTATGAAGTGGTTTAATTACATCCGATATAAGGTCACCACATCCCCGGGTAATCAGATCGGGCGCGTAGCAGTGCCTGGGAATCCTCTGGAGGTAGTCAAGATAATCCCTTGGTCCTTCGAGTCCACAACAATGATACTATCAAAATATTAAGCAGTAATTAAAAAGGTGTTTAAGTTTAAACAAATATAGTACCGATATTTCAATTCGGATCCAAGTAGTGTCATTATAGTTAAAGTTATTCCACCAAATCCGGGATATGTTCGTTTGAGATTCTTGAATTATACCCCCAAGTTCCAAGATACGTCTTTTTAACAAGTAACATGTCCAATTTATGGTGAGTATAAGAAGAGGAATATACTAATAAGAATGTTTAAAATGATATTCCATTTGAATTTTATATCTACGAACCCCAATAACTATCCAATCCTTTGTCAGAGAAGCCAGCCTAGTGCTGATGGGATACATGGTAATAATGATCGTCATGACAATTGATACACTGAGATAAAAGCCCACTACTGATGCTGTTAGCTGCTTGGAGTATATTTTGGTATCTCGTCCATGAACCAATATAAATGGTAAGACTATTCTCAACATTATGACAATGATTAGCTGAAAGTAATTGGAGTCTTGAAAGAGTTTTGGACATACTACTATTAAAATATCATACCCCATACACTGCCGCGATCCTTGAAAAATATTTGCTCATTTTTTTAGTTTATTCAAATAAATCAATTAAATATAAATGCAATTGACAGAATAATCTAAGGTAACACGTTATGACCGTTTTTTGTATGGAATAGTTTGGTTTGTAATCCCCGCGATGATTTGTTTTTGTCAAGAGCTGTATTTGTATAGAAAATAAATACAAATTTATTTGTCTTCAATTATGTATACAGATTCAGGCCTGTTTCTGTCCATTTTTTTTTTCATTTGCATTTTCGTATATTTTTTGTGGCTGTATTTTCATTGTTGATTTATGGGATTTGCTATTTTTGACAGTTGTTGGTGCTGCAAGGAATTTGTGTGTGCGGCGGGGTATGTGTTTGTTTGTATAAACAGGATTTTATAATCGGCTTTCTATATTAATTTTAATTTTATTTTGGGCATTTTATTATAATTACTCTTGATATATGTAAATGGTCATCGTTAGTAGAATTATCGTTTTGTTATATTTACTGCATTGTTGCTGCTGTTGATGTCCGCATCCATGTCCCTCAACTCGTTAGGGAATTTAGTATTCCTTTTTTTGCGGTGGGTTTGTTGTCCGCCCTCTCATAATATCAAATAAAAAATAATATTTTTGTGGTTATAAATGTTTTTAATTGTCGTTGTTAGTTCGGCTTTGTTGTTTCATAATCGTATGCACTTTGTTGTTTGCCAAAAACGCGGGTGCTGCAAACAAAAAAAAAAATATTGTAATATTTTGGCAAAATATTTATAATATTTTAATGCTAATTTCAACAAACACAAATCGCACATGGTGGCTAGGGGCTAGGTAGTATCTGTTTGTGATATTTTAATTTTAATGTCACATTTGATCATAAATACGGCGATTAACAAATAAAACGGACTACGGGCTTTCGTTATATCCCTCTATGGCCCCATTAGGAATTAGGAATTGTGTTTAGTTTTTAGGCCTCTTTGGTTGCGATTATATATTTTTGTAATTTAATTGCTTTAGGAGAACAAAGTATTGTCTTGAAAGCTTTTTTTGTCAGATTTTAAATTGGATTTTAGTTATTTTTTTGTACATACATACATTTCCACTTTTCGAAAGAAATTCCAGTATTTTTAAAATGTACGACGGAAGCAAGTATTTTGCCCGATCCCTGGATTCTTATCATCCATCACAATCCGAAGTATCTGTGGAAACTGAACCCGATAATCCCATTAAATATGGAATGGTTAAGAATCCAACCTGTAATGAGGCAGTTTTCAACACGGCAGCAACATCGGTGCCTGACGATTCTGGAAGCAACGTGGCATCCCAAGCAAGTGCTGAGGTAGAAAAGTTAACCAGAAAGATTCCATACGAGCCCCAGATTATGATTATTTATGAAACCGGGGATATTCACAGTGCCTTGCACTTTCTTGTTGAATCAGCTCAGAATCCCTTCGAGAGAAATGCTATCGCCATGGTCCTGATAGAGGAGAAAATTATGGAACAGGTTGTCCAACAAATCTTGGACAAATTGAAACCTCTCTCAGACTTTGCGGTACAACACCATAATTTTTGGGACAGCGTTGAATATATCAAGACAAACAACCTGAAGATTGTTACTGTTGATGATGATCAGAAGACTTTTCCGGTTCTTGTGTATGATGTCACCCATGATAAGCTGGGAAATAATCAAACTGGGGTTATTACCTTGCATTCATTCACCAAAAACGAGGAGATCATCGAAAAGTGCCAGAAGGAAACTCTGCCCTTTAAGTCCGTCTGCTGCTGGAACGAAACCCTCGTTGGAGTCTATGATATTGTAGCAGCCCTCAAGTGTTCCCACTTTTACATCAACTGCTGCAATGTGAGCTTGGACCCGATTTATACATCACTCAAAGCTGGAAAGAATGATGTGGTCTATGCAGATGGATTTCACTACGAAACTTTAATCATTTACACGCTCTTTAAGCTCGTTGTTTTTCCCATTGGAGATGCAATTGTGGCCAAGCCTGAGGCTTCCAAAAAAGATGTAGAACCCATCAGCTTCTTGGAACCGTGATTTCCACGCAAAAAGCACATCACAAAACAATCAATTCGGATTACCAAAAATATTTGGCCAATAAACATTTTAAAGTTATTTTTGGATACTTTTATGGTTATTGACATTGATGATACGTATCGAGTATGATGGCAGCTGTCAGCGGTAATAATAATATTTCTTATGAGTCGGTTGTCGATTTTTTGTTTCGGTACGGTCCTCTTAATGAATATTATGTAAATGCAGGTTGGAAAACAAGTTGACGTTGTTGTGACTAATTTTAGCCCAAACCGAGACGCACCTTTTTTGGTGATGGGTCAATATTGCATTTGAGGGCTTGTGAGGTATTTGTTATTTGTAGTTCTTTAAGGGGTTAATCAATGAGCCGATTTACTTTAAGACATTCTTGGTTGCTTACAGACCAGAAAAAATAAAAAACCTACCAACATGGGGGGCTATAATTTACGATCGCAAAACATTCAAAAGCCGGACACACATCTGGGTAATAAAACCATCTCTTTATGGGAGGGTGCTGCGAGTGTGAGTGACGCCAAGTCGTCGCTTTCTGGCACTTAAGGCCCCAGTCCAAAAATAAAGCCTCGCTCATCAATGTGATTATCAGTTTTGGTTATTTTTTTTTTGCCCCTTTCCTGTGGTATTTATTTCGCATAAATCTCTGGCAAATGTCAGCCCCAATATGGGCTTATCAGGTGGCGTCTAAATGCAGTCACACCCCACCCGGTGGTGGCTGGGGAAATTCATTATAAAATGCGGTTTGAATTATTTGTCAAAATGTCTGGTCCAGGACGCAGTGACATTGATGTTGACATTGACAGACAGCCTGGGTCGAATGTCCCTGGCAGGCCGGGCCAAGCCCAGTACACTTATTCGATGCGACAAAATAAATGAAATTGTTAATGGCCGGTGAGTCACAGTGTTGGCATCATCCTCATCATCATTATCATCAGTGTCGTCATCATCATTGACTGCATCAGTATCAATATAGTATATCCCTTTATAAAATATGACATTTTATTGGTGCACTGGATAATCAATGCACAGAGACAAAAGTATAGTTACATTAAAGGGTGTGAGATATTTTGTAGGTTACCATTTTAAAATATTTTTGGACAATAGGACAATTCTTTCTTGCAACTAGAGTTTATCCTACTGCAAGGCAATGCAAGTCACTCGTTGCCTAGTCTCCGAGTTAACTGTCAGTTTCAATCGTGTCTGCAGAACTTGTCACTCATTCAATAGTTTTCAAAATTGCAAATGTCACTTACAACCCAACAACACGAACTACCAGCTCCAGCTACCCACATACACATCCTTGCCAAGGATGCGAGCTGAGACAATGTTGCCAGAGAGAAGACGGAGGTATCCATCTCCATCTGCAAAGACAAAGTCGGAAAAGTGGCAGGAGGTGGATGCTGAGGCGAAGGAGGTGGCCAGGAGGAGGATGACGCGGCAAGCAGACGCTGTGAATTAAAACAAGGCCAGGGAATAAAATAATAAAAGGACACAAAGACAAAAGCATAAGAAAACTTGAATGTCCCCATACTATCATTGCATTTTGTGTTTGTGTGAGGATGACCCATAATAGAGAGGGTTCTGGGGTGTAGGCACTGGAAGAAATTGTTGGTGATAATAGGAAATAAATTCAATTGATGGGTCTTGTAATAAAGAAGGTATAGGCTTTAATGCTTTGTTTTAATTTGAAATTTGGTTGGGATAACCCAAATCTTTCCTCAGTGTACTGGCAAGTGCAATATGTACCACCCAGCCTCGAATCTGAGAGCGGGACAAACATGTACGCATCAAAATCAGACTTGTAATCCAAGTGCAAGTTGCGAATCCAAAAATCCATCCATCGCTTGCAGAGCATCCTTCACAGGGGCCTCCTTCCGAGCTTTCTGGAAAGGAAAACTTGAGCAAGCTACCAAGTAAGAAAGCAAGCAAGCAGGAACGCAAGAATGCAGCAAGCAACCCGGCAAGGCAGCAGAGCTGGGAAGGAAGGGAAGAGTTGGAAATTCGCTCGCCTGATGTCACGTAGAATAGACATACAGACATGCAAGTGACAGACAGATGGAGAGACACTGTGACACGACACATTGACTGACAGCTGCAGGGATGCTAGTGGGCGTGGGCGTGGGCGCGGGCGAGGTCTTGGGCTTTAGGATTGGGAGGCGTGGCAGGGCTGAGGTTGCAAGGATTTTGTGCAAGAAATGGCGTGTGCAAACAAAAACCGAAAGACAAAAGCAAACCGATGGACAACATGGAGGAGACACCGGGAGAGGGCAAAGGATTCCATCGCTGGTCAATGGAACAGTTTCCTTACTCAGCATCTCCGGGGGCATTTAATTTCAAAAGGATTGTTTAACGACTGCCAGAGGATGGCGGGGGTGGCGATAGCAACTTAAAGGATCCAAGAATTTGTACTCCATTAAGTCCTCTTTACATATTCCTTGCATCCCAAAAGTATGCAACGAAAGTGAGACCAAAAAATGCTCCATGCACGGTAAGAAAATGTCGTATATGTCCTTGTGGGTAATAAAATGTATAATTCCCATCCCCCTGAAACAATTTGGTGGTTGCAGTGCTTTCCATTTTGACAAAATATTAGACGATGGCATAATGTGAGGCCGGGGAAAGGAAATGAGGGCCGGGATGGAGGACACTTCATGCAAAAGTGTTTTTAATTTCATTTTTTCACATTTAATTTTTTTGCCTTCATATTTTTTGACGAAAGTTGATAATCATAAACCAGAGCAGGACGCGGATGCGGATGCGAATACGGACGAGGCGGGGACGTGAAAAATAAATAAGAGTAATTAAATTTCGTAACAAACATGACGAGATAATGGACCGAAGCCATTAACAGAGCCCTGAGACAGGACTGACGGTCAGTCAGGGTCGCGGAAGATGACGAGAAGGAAAAACCGTTCCCGCACGCCCCCAAAGGACAACGCAGCAAGGACAACATAGTGGTGGATCCAGCTGACGCCTGGCTCCAGAGGGATAGAAGCTCCTTGTAATGTCCCCTGCATTTTTCAAACAAAACGTATGCCAGCAACGACGAAAATCCTTTCTTGCTCACGAACCGAAATCCCAGAGGCAAATTTTTCTTGATTTCTCCCCAGCTCAGTGTGGTCCTCCTGGCCGTCTGAAGTTTAAAAAATTATTGCATCATTTGTGGAGCCATCAGCGAGGAAGGCATCGGGTCAACTTGGGAGCACACGGACCTCCAAGGACAAACGTGAGACTGACACCGAACGTCTGCCGGCTCAAAGGAATCGTGATGAATGTCCAGCCATCAATAAAATCCTTTCCCTTGACGTCAATATTCCCAAAAGGACACAACACTGAGGAGGTGAAGCATTTTGGATGCAAAGTTTATATTTGGCCATTATTTTGGCACTACTTATAGGGGGAACTTGGTATAAAAAGGAGAGATTTTCTGATCATTTTAATATATGCGATATAGTTAAAATGTTCTTAAGCATCGAATAATTTATGCAAGTATTTTTGTTAAATTTTCCTTCTTTAAAACATTAAATCTCTTTTAAATTTCCATTTGTGTCACATTCTGTATTTAGCCAAAAGCAAATGATTTCCGCCTCGTTTTAATCAACCACTTCTCTCTCTCTGGCCTTTCATCATTCCTCTTAACGAAGCATCAAACGAAATGGTCAGAAACTTTTTGCCATCAACATTTTTTCTCAAAAGGAATACAAACAAGAAAGGCCATCAGCTGTGCTGAATTGACCAAGGAATAAGTGGAGGAAGATACAGGAAAGTTTCCAATGCAAGATGACAGCTCATTCGTCAAATCACACAAAGACAAATGTGAACTCTTCATCAGCTTTTTGGGTCGAAGCATCGAGAAACATCCTCGGATCCTTGCTTTGTCTATGTGAGCGCCATTTGGCCGCTGGCTAAGTTTGATGTTGACGTTTCAATATTGATGCAATGTGCTCCATGACCAAGTTTATCCCTCGCCGCCCCATCTCCGCTTCGGTTCGATTCCTATATGTATGCCCAACATATTTCATCGAATATGTCCGTTGCCAATTCTATGACTGACATGAAAAATAACAAAACAACAACGGCGGTCATTGCCAAAAAGGATAACGCCCATGGGATGGCTGGATGTCTAGATAGCAGGATGGCCCGGGATCGAGTAAACAGCGCGATGCGTTGTCCAACTTGATGACGATGACGCTGGTATCGCTGCACTTGCTGGCAGTCGGGGTGGGAGATGCTTCCTAATCCATCGTCAAACGTCTTGGCATGTCCTTGGACTCTTCCTCATCCGCTCACTGGCCAAGGCAATCTCCTGCAGCTGTCGCCTGCAACGATGGATGGATGTGTCCGAGGTGGCTCGAAGGGATGCATCTCAAAGAGGCGCAACTTGGACAATATACAAGTATCCGAGCTCAATAATGTTCGATTTTGATGATGTAGGCAGACTCACTCTCTAGTATATAAGACTTCCATCCAATAGCTCTTCAAAAATAAAACTGTTTGGTGCCATCTTCTTGTGCTATTCAAGCTTTAACTAAAATGGGAAATGCTTTTGTTTTCGAATTGCAATTTACTTCTAGTGGAATCTATATGGTATTTATTAGCTCGCAGACATATAATACTAATTGCCTTTTAATTTTTAAAATAGATGTGCGATAAGAGTTTAATTATGTCCGATGAATAAGCATTTCATTAGATATATTTCCAATTTACAATATGTTCAGAAAATACTTCCTCAGTAAGAGCTTACCATCAAAAAGTTAAACATCAGTGAAGACAACTCCACGTAATGTTTAAAACATATTTTTTTCTTCTTTGTACTATTTTCATCAAGGTAAACTTGATCGCTTTTTAAGAACAGTATTTAAATATTTTTATTGAAACTTAACTAGTGCTCGTTGGCTCAACTTCAAATGAAATCTACAAATGTTATATGCAATACCAGTGCAAGATTTACTGAAAAAACAGATTGCCGTTTGAAGGCCCAAAGTTGG